CCAGGTTGCTACCTGCAAGGCCTGAATTTGATTTTCATTTGATTTTGATTGTACTAGTGCTACAGAACCTGAGAGAGAATGAGCTGTGTAATTCTGCATGCATTTAAATCCATTGACTTCTGCAAATCATGTTATTGATGAAGATCCATATGAAAGCATGAGTCAAATACATGTCTCTCAACTCAGGTTAATACTCCGGGGAAATTTAGGAAGAAACCCTGCTGGTAGGGTGTATCTGAAATACAGTAGTTGTGATACAGACTATCTCATGCCCTAATACCAATATCAAAGGAGTACTGTTTAATATTTGCATTTTTTAAAAAGGGCACTGAATACTCAAGATTTTTATGGAGCTTCTGTGCTCTGGAAATTGAGTATGTATGTGACTCTCTGGATTTCTGTGGAATAGTATTTCCCGATTTCTACAGAGCAAATCTTTTGCCAAATTTTATTTGGGGCTTGGATCACCATTCAGAATGTCAAAACACACAGAGAGATGTGGAAGATAGCACTGAATGAAATGCTAACAGAAATTACTGGTTCAGTTTGCTGCCAAATAATCAACAGTATTTAGGAGCATGTATCTGTAGAAACACTCTGTAATAACAATGTGTCATTTTTGTAAAGGTATCCCATTCTCCAGGAGGAATCCAGCTCAAAGCAGACAAATAACAACTAACTTGTGTATGTGTCTATGTGTTCTTGTAAGCTATGTAGCCATAAACTTAATAAGAAAGTTTGTCAAAGCAAGATATTTTTCAGAACTTCTTATAAATACAAAGAAACCTTAATACTCTGTTAGTCATCATTACTTGTCTTCTGAGTATCCCACAATTAAATTTACTCTTGGAAGTGAGGAGAGTGTTGTCTGTCAGACAAAGGAGTTGAAAGCTAATCTTGGTAACAGCAAAAGTCACTGTAATAAATAGACATATTCCACATGTTGAGTCACTGGTGAGTACATCCCACAAATGGGCTCTTCCTGTAAGTCTGCTAACTGCTGGGTATTAAGTACTATTGTTTATCTACATGCAAGTCCCCCAGTCTGACTTAGTTATTTATTTCTGTCAGTAAAATATCAAATAGTTTCAGTCAAAAGCAGATTCCCCACAACTACACAATGTTATGTGTGACAGCAGATTTGCAATGTATCTTCGCTGTGTGCCACCAAATGTATTAATATTATCAGAGTTGTGACATTTCCTCTTATTTGTACATCATCATTTGGACTATACCTCCTTAAAATGTGAGTGTAAAAATGTCTTGGGGCTCACTAATATTCATGGAGTAATTATTTCAGGTACTTTTTTATTTGTGATGCTGTGTATATGAATAATATTAAAAGGATTGGATTTATGAAAGAGGCTTAATATAGAGTAAGCATAACTGAGTAGGCTTAATTTAAAAAGCATAAAATTGTGGAATTGTGGTCATATGTAAGATACAAAATTTGTCTGGTGTCTGTGTTGTGTTACACCTCAAAATCTTCAGCCATTGATATGTAAGCATGTAGAGTTTTACAGATACAGTGTCAGCTCCAGGGGGAGTTTACCCCAGTGTATAATAAACCCATCACTAACTACTTAAATAAACATGGACTTCAGGAATTCATACCACTCTTTATTGAAACAGTACTGAGGACTGGAAGATACTTGAAATCCCTTAGAACTTTTGTAATTGCAAAATCACTCTCATCTGTGGGTAAGTTTGAAGAAAAAGTGTTTTGGGCTACTTGGGTTTGAGTTCAAAGCGTAACTGTGGTTTGCCAAGGCACACTGAAAGCTTCAAAATGGAACAACTTTAAGGCTAACATTTTCTAGACTGGAAAGGAAAGAAAGTGAAAGATAACCCAAGGATGTATTAATGCAAGTCTCATTGAATCTCTTAACAGTTTCTGAGACTTGTGTAGTAGCTGCAGTTATTATCAGAAAACTGGCTGCAAGGGCTGTTTTCTGACATTTTTAGTGGATTATGTGACTGTGAGTAGCCACACCAAACTTGCTCAGTTCACAAGTCAAAACAAGACTTTATTATAAGGCTAACAGTACAACCCCAGTTTATTGTCTGAAAGTTGGCCACTGCTATTGCTTCACACACCACCACCAAAATGATGTCTTTGGACCTAGGGTTTCTATTACAGTTCTCTTGGTGAACTGTGAATTTGCTTTGTAGTTCTGCAGCATGTTGAGTCATTGGCATTAGTGGGAATGATTAGTTTTGTCTGAGAGTTTAAGAGACGTGACTTCAAAGACATACTGAAGAAGCAGACGTAAAGTAAACAGGTGCCATTTCGTGGGATATTTTTCACCTTAAGTGTATGTGAAGGTTTATGATTTATTAAATATTCAGTATTGCAGATAGATACTGTGATGTTTTCACACCACATTAGGGCTTAACTATACTCTGATAAACTAGGTTTTGTTTATAGCTATGGTCTCCTGCAGAGGGGAGATGCCCATGATGAAAAATGGCTTGGTTGAACTAGAATATGTGATAGGAAATGTTTCTGTCATTTGGAGATGGAAGCTACTGATGTTAGTCTAATTTTTCTTTCCTTTTCTCCTTTTTCCCCCCTCTTTGGCTTCCAGTACTAACTTATAAACCAGAATTACCCATTTTTTGAAGTAGTTGATTCTTCATTATGGTTGATTTGAAAGTTCAAAATGACACTGAGTTACACAGCTAATATCCAAACAGATCTTCATTTCCTTTAAAATCTTCAGGACAGGAAAATGTCCATTCAAATTGTTTTCTTATGTAGCTTACATTGTTTAAAGGTCGAGTAGAAATATTCTCATCATGATTTCCATGGCTGATGCAGGGGTGCAGTTGGAGGTCAGGGCTGAACCAGGTCAGTGCCTTCTCACTGCCACTAGGACTGGCACCATCTGTCCCTTCCTCTCCCAAACCATGCCTTACTCACAGTGGGACACACCCTCCAATCTGCTGACTCTGGTGCTTATCTGACTGCATGAGAAACCAGAGTGACTAAAATACATTTGCCTTTTTGCTGGGCAAGTTTTCTGCATGGAGCCAGCTCCTGGTGTGCTCAGAAAAGCACTGAAGCCCAGCAGAGGTGGCAGCAGCAGGGTCCCACACCTGGGAGGAAGAAGAGGTGAGGAAGAATATCTTCCTATTTTAGCTGCAGCCAACTTGCAACTTATTTAGCTGTGTCACGTCTCTACACCTTTACAAAACGACCTAGTTAATTTGGGTTTTTTCGTGGTGCAAAACTAAATAAACATTTAAGACAATACCAGTGTTAATGCCTGAATTTTTGCAGTTACTGTGCTGGGCCAGAGCTGGAGTAATCACATTAATTTTAGGATGGTTATTTCACATTACAGCTGTGAAATTTGGTGACACCCACCAAAGTAAGTTATGAAAACTTTATGGTATACTCCAATTTTTCAATAACTTTTGTTAGTTTAGTTCCAGAGTTTGGGGTTTGTTTTTTTTTGTTTTAGGATTATTTATCATTCCCTATAACTGTCAACATGTCCTTGAAATGAAGGTTTGAAAAGACTTTTTTAAAAGATGTGTTTACAAACGTTTTGACATTTATTGTCCTTGAAAAGCATATCTAAAAATTTTGCAGGCATTTATAAATTTATACCAATTACCCATGGATTAAGGCAGTCTGTGAACTCTTAATATGTATTTCTAGGGTCAGTAGTGAAAAGAATATTTATATCCTTTCAGCTAGTACCATTTTCTGAGAATAATAGCAGAACTGCAATCATATAATTAGTAAAAGACTCTCCTCCTAGGCAAGATACTGCCAAGGGTCAAGTAGCTTTAATTCAAGGAATGAATTTATCCCTTATGTTTTGATGGTTGAAAACCATTGATATGAGGTTTTTAAAATGTGTAAACAGTCAGATAAAATGAACTTCATGGACTTGAGCTACTTCAGGCTTCTGTTTTTAATGTTGAATAGTCCTTTCTTTATTTTTAATTTTCTCCAATGAAAATAGGTATTTAAAATATATTGTTAAAATTTTGTTATATTTTTGTGGTTCTAATTGCCTTGGAAAAAATCCATCAACCTAAAAATATATTTTAAAATCTAATCTGTTGAAGCCATTTGACATAGGACACCTCTCTGTACATAATTCTTAGGTTTTCATAGCAGCACATTTATAGACAAAGTTGTTAGAAGTTTTTACATTTATAGGTGACTATTTGCTTCATAGATCCTGGAAGGGCTGGGGTAACCAGCTGGGATGGTGACTCAAGAATCTTTTGGAACATCCTGACTCTCTCATCTGTTAGAAACAGACACATGAAAGCAGTCCAATAAATTCTGTGATTACTCATTTTAGAGGCAGAATTTTTATCCTTTTATTGATCTACATTTAGGCTGCGTGTTCTTTTCTAAAGCTCTCTGTGGTGACTGTAGATTTCTTCTAAATGACAAACAGAAGTCAGCATTGTGTTCATCATGAAGCAAGAACTCTTCCATAGAGCATAAATATTAAATAAATTAAATTTAATTAGCATAAGACTTGAAGAAAAAATTAGAGAATCAACAAACAACTAATGTGACATCATTTTCACGTAACCCTACATCATCCCAAGAAATTACCTTTGCTAACACATTTGTTGAAGGTTCTTGCTTATATTTTTTAGCTAACAGTCACTCACATCTCCAGACATATACTCAATGTCTACTTCTCTATGGATGCTTTCATTTCTGCTTGTTCGTAGCATGAAAATCCAGTTTTATGTTAACTAGGTGGGTTGTTGAGTTGCCAGCATGCCATTCTGGATTGGGCATTTGTGAATTGTTTTTAAGCACCAAAGCAGACAATGAAAGCTTTATATCAATTCCCCAATTAGCAGTAATCATTCTTGTTAAACTTTGGTAAAGAGCTGTAGTATGTAATGAATGTAAAGTATTCATTCCTGAGCTGTTTCTTTTTTTTTTCCCCTCTCCCTACATTTCTACATTTTGTCAAATAGTCTTATGCTGCTTGTTATTTCTATTCATATTGCAGATTGAGAATGTTGATGTCTGCCTTAGCTTTCTGGCAGCCAGAGGCGTAAATGTCCAAGGTCTTTCTGCAGAAGGTAAGAGAAGCAAATCATCAGAACAAATAATGGAATTTTTTTCCTGAAAAATTAATTTCTTAACACAAATTATTTGCATCTAAATACTAAGCTCTAGCTGCCTCGCACAACATGCAAATATAGATTAGTGACAGCAAGGGAGTTTCCTTTTAGTTTTCCCTTGAAATTGAATCAAGAAATTAAATGTTTATGAAGATTGACACAATGTTTTAAAATAATATTTTTTGAATAGTATTAATCTTTCCATTTTATCTCTGCAGTATTAGATGGATGCAGAGTTTCCCAAGCTTACTTTTTAACTTGTTCATGTATGGGATTCATGGGAATCTTGCTCACTTAGCTAAAGTGAGGGAAGAGTATTTGTTTCAGCAAATTTACTAGTAGTAATAATGCTGTCAGGATGAGTCTGAAAATTATAGTATTCCTTTGATGTCATGTAGAAAGAGTGAATGGTCATTCTGCTTCTGTTATTCTGCTGTATTCGTCACCTCAAATGATTGCCTAATATGGTTGCAACTAGTTAATAATTATATTAAATCAAATCCTTAAAATATCAGTTGTCTTAATCATTATATGATATTTATCTCATTAATGCAAAAGGCAGGTGAATACTTTTTCTTGTAAATTTATAAAATTTATGTAAGTCTTTGTCCTGTAACAAATTAAGTAGTTCTGCAAGGTGCTAAGCACCTTCTAAATCCCTCTGACCTCTGTGGCAGCTGAAGGTAATAGTTATTAATGAGATGCAATCCTATCCTTTCTATTTTGCTTATAGCACAACTAAAAGCTGGAAGGAATTTTAATTTTTTTTTCCAGAGATGGTAATTTCAGTTGAATTTTAGAAGGTTTATGGATAAAAAATTTGGAATGCTAGCCACTGTAAGATTCTGAAATTATCTCAGAATTGTTATCTTTCACCATTTCAAACTTTCTAGGACTGTAGAAGTGTAATACAGCCACATATTATAGAAATGTACCATATGTTCACTTTAGTTGTCAATTTACAGAAATCTCCTTAAGTGGTTTAAGAGAACCTTTGTACATACTGTAGATATCTGGATGCAAGAGAATACTGAAAGTTTGCATGTTGTCATTTCCCTCAAAGGTGTTTAGAACCTGAATTTTCTAGTGCAACCTATTTTAACTTGCACATAAAATCCCCATCGGATGTCTGAATTTATTTCTGAGAATGCCCTTCATTGTTTAATACCATGACATGGAGCATGACACTATTTTTCTGTCCTTTATTAAATCAAAATCTGTGTGCATTCTTTAATACATGCCTTTACTCATACCTTTGTTTTGCTTTGGAAAGGAATTTTAATAGCATATAAGCTTCATTTGTGTAGCTTTAAGTTCTACTACGGTACTAGTGCTAAATGCAAGGACTAAAAAAATTCATTAGTCTTCAAAACCAAATTTTAATTTTGAGTTCTGAGGTAAGATTAAAAGTAATTTTGCTGTTTGCAGTTGGTCATGAATCTGGTGTAAATCCACTAATATTTTGTAATTATAGTACTTCAAAGTATTGCAGAAGTGTGGTTCCCTTAAATATACCATTTTTAGTATGTACTATCCTGAATGTTACAATTTCTCTTGAGAAGAAGAAATAGAGTTTCTTGTAATAGGTTTTCTTAAATGTGTCTTGTCACTACTGCATCATTTATTAATGACCAAAAAGCTTCTGGAACAATAAACCATAAGCTTAACAAGTTTTGAAGATTTCACAACCAGTTCCTGACCTCATTTTGACACTTGAGCAAAGAAATCTAGAACAAAAGTAATTTTCACATCTTGACTGCAGAATCTCTACTTGAGAACCTAAATGATAAATAAGAAACCAGTTACTACAAAGAAAAACCCTCCCCTCCTCTTCCCTCTGACTGTTTAGTACACATTAGAAGTTTCTGGATTTTTTGTTTAACAGAAATCTTCTAACTTTAACTCGTTTAAAAGAAGTTCAAAATGGATAACATTCTTCTTTAGAAACAGTAAAGAATATAGGTTAATACAAAAAGAGCAAAATTGTAAGATTCAAAAATAGTGAGTGGGATTTAACAAACAAAGGGTTCTTTTTCTGGGCATTAAGTGATGCAAAATGACAAGAATAAATAAACTGGTGTCATGTACTAAAAATCTTCTAGAATCAGAGCAGTTTAAAATGGATAGTTATGTATTTCTGTTGGGGTTTTTTTGTGATAATTGTAAATAGAAATTTTCAGTATTCCTTGATAATGATAGTCCTTGAAAATCATGTGACTGCAAAAGTCGTTGTACCTGTGTGATGGTTTGGAATTATGAGTTCTGAGAAATTGCTGCATATCTCTGACGGTCTTATTGGGAATCAAAGATCCTGCAGCATCTTCACAGGGAAAATGAGAAAGTTTGGATACTTAGAACAAATTTCCATTTTGCAAAGTATATTCCAGTGTCCAGTATTGTGTTTGCTTATGAAGAACAGGTTGTGAGCGTAAGGGCTCCAGTGTTTGCTGGCCTGTACATACTAATATTTTGCTTAATCCTATTGAAAGAAAATTAATACGGTTTAAAAGACATGATTATTATAGTAATTGTTTCTAAATTTGGCTTGAAAAATTTATCTAAAAAACCCTGTATAGCACACGCAGGTCAGTATTTAGATTTGCAGGAAGGGCAGAAATATTGTGGTGTTTAATGTCGGGTTACAAGTCTACAGGTGTAATGAAAACCTTTCACAAGAAGGTCAGTGCCAAAAAAACTTAATAATGAGGTTATAAACAGACGTACATGCTGCAGATAATTTCCTCAAAGTCTCCTGAGGCTTCTTTTTTTGACGCAGATCCTTTATGAGCAAAGAATAACATTATCCTTTTGAAACCTTCATCTCAGGCTGGGGAAAGACTAAGAAAGGAATGGGAGACATAGGGATGCTCCTGCAGTTCTCCAGAATTTTATTGAGGTGGTTGTTTTAGTCTCATGTGAAAGCTGTGGCTTTGAAGTCGTCATTATCAGTAATAGTAATATAAAATAAGCTATAGAACCATGTAGTTTGATAGTTCAAAGGTGAAATCGCAAGCATTACAGTCACTTTTTAAAAAAACAATTTTCCATTAATCTTCTTCTCTTATGCTCCTTGGAAATATGTATGTATGAATATGTGCTCAGCTACAAGACTGTTACCATATATTCTTTTCAATTTCTCTAGAACCCACTATTTATTACCAATGTGCACAGAATTTGCCCCAGAATCAAAAAGAGTGCTTGAAAGCCATGAGGTTTAAGGGATGTGTACTTAAGACTAGAAAGAATTCAGATTTACAGATGACCCACAAATAAACAAAAATTGTAATAAAAAATAAACCATCAGTGATACTTAAAATGTCCCTGAAATTAGAGATAAATGAAGAGAGATAAGGCACAAACATGTATAGCTATACGTATGTACAGAGATATTTTAGTATAAGACTTTTACAAAACCGAAATCTAAAACCACAGTGTTTTCACTTCTTTTTCTCTCTCTTTTTTTCTTTTTTTAAAACAGAAATAAGGAATGGAAATTTGAAAGCCATTTTAGGGCTGTTTTTCAGTTTGTCTCGGTACAAACAGCAGCAACATCATCAGCAACAGTACTACCAGTCTTTGGTGGAGCTACAACAGCAAGTCCCTTCAACCCCAGCTGAAATCAGCCAGTCTAAAACACACCAAGATATGCAGTCAAGGTAGGATAAAATGTTAGTTTCCTCAAGTGTAAAAGCTTTGTATTTTTCTATTCAAAAAAGACAAAATTTTGTGGAAAAAAAAATAGGCCACTATAAGACTTAAAAGCTTTTTGTTTGTTTGTTTTGGGAGGTTGGTTTGTTTGTTTGTTTTAGGGGGTTTTGTTTGTTTTTTTTTTTTTGTTTTGTTAGCTATTTCTGCAATCCATGCAATGTGTTTGTTTGGTACTAAGCCCACATTTCTTGGGAGTAAAGCTAGAGTGAGAGCAGAGAACATTCCCAATTAAATTCAGTTCCAATTTTAATTGTAAGGTTTTCTTTTGCCTTAATATTGATTCTGCTGGCTAATAAGAGACAGCTAGCACACCACAAGGTTACTATACTGGTTATTTTCATGTTTTCTTCACATACCCAGTTCCATTTCTAAGTGAACAATTTCAAATAAATAACAAAATACATGGAGAAAGGCACAATACTTTAATATAAAATTCTTTGTATCCCCACACATTCTGTTTTCTGAGGGCCTAATTCTATTTTAATGTTTTGTTTTTTGAAAGGGAGCAGAAATGGCCTTAATCTAGTTGGGTTTTTTAAGTGGTCAGTTTTTTCTTTAGTTTTAGGAAAGCAAAGCACTCAGTGGAATCCTTAATTGCTGAATTACATTGCTTTCAGACTGCAGCTGAAAACATATTTTGAGAAGGCAGTTGCTTACAGGCCATGACAAAAGAATCAGTTGGAAACACGAATATGTATTTAAATGGAAACAGTATTAGCAATGTATACTTTATTGGGGAAGTTTAAAAAAAAGCCATTCAGATGTAGTACCACATAAACTGGAGTTCTTAATGAAGAGTCCTGTATATTGCTTTGTTGGGTTTAGTACTTGTTTAATATTTTATTTCTTTGTTTGAAATATTTTTGCAGAGTTATTGAACAATTGTATGCCTAGGATGTGATAAGTCAATGATCTGGGATGGGTTAAAAATATAAGACTAAGATACTGAGAGTCTGGTTCTTTAGTCCATTCATATCTAAATTACACTTTCATTTTGTAATAAACATATTTCTTCTTCAATTGACAAAGCTTTTAACACTTCTGCCTGAGAAATCTATGTCTTAAAACTAGGAATGTTTTAAAAATATGTTTTGTAGGAAGGTGTTGCCGATCACATTATAGCTACCTCATTTGATACAAAAATTAAGATATGCTTGTGTTTGCCTTGAACATTAAAATTGAAATGGTTTGGTTCTTTCCTCTGTTACTGAAAATTAATGTCTTTGAATGCTTTCTCTATGAAGTTTACTATTAATATGTAATTTAGGGAATTATGGTGTGGTCCTAGAAGAGTCTTAACATTTTCTGAAGTTGAATTTCCCCTTTCTGAATTATATTTACTACTGTGTACAAGGCAATGTCATCTTGTTATTCAAAAATGAAGTGTTCACTGCTTAAATCACTGTAATTAAGAGCTTAACCGACTTCCTGTAAATACCTTTGGTTACTGTTTCTTTGTTTATGATTTTGTAAAAGAATTCACATTTCGTGATTTTCTCATATACGCGCAGTGAATTTTTAGTAACAAAAATAGTTACATTGTTCCTTTATGCATCATCCTTATCGCAAGGATTTGTCAAAAAAAACTTGGATAAAGCAGGTTTCTTACTATTTGGATGACAGTGTTTCCACATGGTAGGCAAAGAGTTGATGAATCTTTTATAAAGCTTTCTTTTCATTATAATTCCCTGAGATCTTGTGGTGCTTCTGTGCCTGTTTCTCTTTGCTATGTTTACACATGCTTCATTAAGAGGAAAGGCAATCATTCCATGGCCAGAAACCCAGCACTTATGCTTTCATAGAGTGACACCTAAGGCTGGTTTAAAAAAATTTCTGCTTCCATCAGTGTGCTTTAGACCTTTCACTTTAATCTACGAGTTTAAAATCATTTAATTCTTTGATTATATTTCTATTCATAGCAATGTTTCAGTTTTAATATATTTCTATGTAAAAAATTTTGATGCCAAGATTGATACCATCTTTTTTATTTCCCATCTGTAAACTGAAAGCAAGAATTTTTCTGTTTGCTTTCATCTCCACGGAAGTGTGATGCTTGTCACTATAAACTGCTGTATTGCCTGAGAGAGTGTGACTTTTTTGATCTATATATTTTTCAGTAAAGTCTTTAAGGAGAAAGAAAGGTCTCTACTACTAAAAGCTTTCTCCTCTATGAAAGGGTTTTATCTTCTGCTACAAATACACCTAGTATTCAGAGTTGCTAGCAAAACAAGGAGGTCCAGAACTTAGAAACAAACAGAAATGCCATTTTTTTTCAATACTTCCTTTTTTCATTTGTCATTGTTTTGAAGTAATATAAGGAAATTAGCATAAAATAGCATGTTTCCTTCTAAGAAAAATGTCTACACATGAAAACAGGTTTTCCACAAGTAGATGGATGTATATAAATGTACATTGATATGAACTTTATGTGGTGCTTAGGAACCTTTCTTTTCATAGCAGTCATTTAATTAAATTTAATTCATTTTCCTATCAAAACAAATAGTTTGAAAAATAATTTAAATTTTTTCCCTAAACAGCTTTTTAGCTTTAAGCTGGTAATGACTAAATAAAAGCTTCTGTTTAGATAGAAGCCAAAATATGAATTAAAAAAGATGACTTTGATGATATTTATCTTGCTTTTTTCCTGCGTTTTGCTACCTGGAATGTTGACAGGTAGCTTATATCACTCCCAAAACTGATTTCTATGATTGCTTTCATGTCACCTGTGTCTCAGCATTAATTGCAGAAGGAACCAACATGACTGAGTTGGCAGGAGTTCATGGTAGAGACAGTCCTGAGCAACTCATATGACTGCTCCATGGGACACTTGAGATCTTTAGCTATTTTTGGCAAAAAGTAGCTTCATAGTGAAGTCTTTCTGTTGAAGAGTTTTGAAAAGGGATAAAATCTAAAGGGTGTAATAATGTCACATTCTTCACACTTTCTTTATGAAATTATGAACTTAATAGATATCTAACAGCTATCAATAATAGAGTAATTTTCCCCTTTTTTTCTAAAGTATTGATGATAAAACAAGCTATTTTATCCTTTCAGAGTGGATGTTAATTTTTTAGGCAATTTATTATTACACATTTATTGTGCTGGTATGCCTTGTTTATTAGCCTGTTTCAGTTCTGAGTATGTTTTTAAAAATTCTTGGTACCTACCATTTTCTATCACTTCTAATATAACTGTGAAAAGGTTTGGCATGTAGAAACCTTAAGGCAGAAGATTGCTTATGGTGTATATGTTGGAAAAAATATTTGGCAAATGTACATAGCAGAGAGTATTTTCCATTAATTTGGTCTGTGGTTTCTTATTACCTAGAAATAGTTCTTTCAGATTTTTGAAAGGAACAAGAAAAATTGTCTTATTATTATGGCAGAAGGCAGATAATGAATGTAGCTGTGAACACCTGAATGACACACTCATCTTCATTCAGTTATGACAAAATGCTTCAAACCTAATTTGAGTACATCTTCAAGGGTATTGTGAAAATTATCTTCTTATACTCATGGATATTTTATTTTACTTGAAGACTCACATATTTCTACCATGTTAAACATCTGAGAAATAGAGCTGTCTTTTTGAGGCACTGTATACTTTTCATTGCATTTGGTATCCATGTGTTTGTATGTGTGCAGACATGTAAGCAAAACCAAAATATACACACTGAAAAAGGTGGATGCTTTCTATAGACTTTGTACATTTTTAAATGTTCAATAATCAATCACTTTTAATGTTTTAATTTCAGTCTTTAAAACTGTCTTAATAACTGCAGTTATTTTAGGTTAGAATATTCTATCAGAAAAGTTATCCTCTCTGTTGCTTCCAGCTAAGCTATAGTAAGCATATTTCTTAATTTCAGCTTGATTTCCTAGGAGGTAAAAAACCATTGTGTTTTCTTCATTAAACGAGCATGAAAAGGTGATGCTCTCCACTTTTTCTGAGAGAAATATGGATTATACATGGGAGAGGGAAATACCCCTGGCAAGTCACACAGAAGATGGTCAGACTACAGAGGTGGTAGCATTCAGGCCTTGCTGAAGACCAAGACAGTTTCATCTTTTTCTGTACAGGGCTGGTATCTCATTCTCCTAATTTAAAAGTCTGGTCCTGGTGATGATGATGATGATGATGATGATGATGATAGTACTGTTATCCTTGTTTCCAGGTTATGTTGCAATAATCACTCTCTGTGATTATTACTGGGGATGAGTCCATTCTGCATGCCACTGAAGCCACCCTACTGTAGTATCAACCTCATTCGGACAGTCTTTGAGCCCTTTCTCAACAAAAACTGAAATGGGGATTAAAAAAATACTAGAACTCTACAGGATTCATAGACAAGTTGTTTTGATATGGTAAACAAACAGAGGCCTCAGGGGAAGGTTATAATCAGAATACCATGAGGCTGAGAGGATTAGGTTTGTGCAGAAATAGGGAGCACAGGAGCCTAGTTGTCCTTGGATGACTAGGAGACAACACAGATCAGGAATGTAATTAAACCAGTTTCTGGAGAAGCTCACTCCCTTAATGCAATGTTTGCATAGGAGGCTCCAATGTTATCCAAAATTGGCCAGTATGGCAATACTCTAACGTTCCCTATCCCGTGTAATCTGTATGTGACCAACCTCAGAATTGTGAAAACTGTGTGCACAGAGGGTGAGCATGATTCTGCATGTGAAAGAGTATCATTGGCCTGTCTAATCCTAAGGCCAACAACATTTCAAATTCAATGTAAAAAGGACAAAGGAATTTGATTCCTGGTAAGTGAAATTTCCTTGCAGTGTATGCTTTATGGAAGATTACAGTTTCGTACTACTAAGTATAAAACCTCTGAAATTATTTAGACTATTACTGGGAAAATCTGCAGTAAATAATTAATGGTAACCAAAGGGAGAGAATGGTTTTAGATGTGATTTCTGATTTCTTTTTATCCTAAAGT